CCATTTTGCTAAGAGGGTCTGGTTGTGTTTCCTAAGCCTCTTAATACCTAGACCCCGTTGCTGCTTTGGGAGGCAGACTGTATCCCATGAGATAAGATGGAACTTTGAATGCTCCGCTTGTCCCGACCACAAAAAATTCCTCATAAGCTGTTCCAAGCGGTTAGCCACAAAGGTTGGCATTTGGAACATTGACATGAGATAAACCGGTGCATTGGCCAGGGTTGCCTTATTAAGGGTATTGCGACCTGCCTGGGAGAGATATCTACCCTTCCACCCAACCAAGCGCCGATCAACGTTGTCAATTACATGTGACCAGTCCCTATGTTTGGGTTTACCAAGACCTAGGGGCAGGCCGAGATAAACAGTGGGGAGTTCGTCAACTTTGCAATTCCATGTCGGGATCAGATTCTTTATTGCATCAGTGGAAAAGTGTATCCCCATCACGGTAGATTTTTCCGTATTTACTTTGAATCCTACAACCTCTTGGGAGCACTTCAGGTACAATCTCAGGTTTTCAACTGCATGTGGGGAAGCATCTAAGAAAACTAGTGTATCATCTGCATATTGCAGGTGAGACACTATAGGTCCTCTACGAGATGTTTGGAAACCGGAGAGTAAGCCAGCCTGGAAGAGACGAGAAATAGAGCGGCTAAAGACCTCAGCCGTTATGGTGAAGAGGAAGGGGGGAGAGGGGGTCCCCTTGACGTAGCCCCCTAGTTGAAGGAAAGAAACCTTTGGGGGAGCCATTGATGAGAAGGATGGGTTTGAAAGACAACCTTTGATCCATTTCCTCCAACGGTCTTTAAAACCCATTCTTCTCATGATTTCATCTAGAAGAGCCCAGTCTGCATGGTCATAGGCTTTCTCCCAATTAATTTTGAAGATGAGCCCGGTTTTTTGGACAGAAACCTGGAGTGAATGCACTCATGGGCAATTAACGCACCATATAAGATCTGTCTATCTTTGATAAAAGCTGATTGGGATTGAGAAATAATGGAGGGAAGGACCTTCTGTAGCCTTGAAGCCAAAACCTTAGACAAGATTTTGTAAGAAGTGTTCAATAGGCTGATTGGGCGAAAGTCCTTGAGCTCCTCAGCACCTTTGACCTTAAGTACCAGAGTAATAAAAGTTGCGTTGATGGCCTCATGCAAAATTCCTATGGAAGAATTCCGTAAAGAAACTCAAAAGATCTACCAGAATACTTTAAAGGGGGCAATGGGAAAGCTATCGGGACTTGGGACTTTGTCTCCAAGTAAATCATTAATGGCTCTAAAAATCTCTTCCTCCAAGAATGGACTCTCAAGCCCAAGGGCCTGAGTCTCCGATAAGGTCATGACATCAAGGTCGGACATTGCAGGTCGGGAAGTGACCTGGGTAGAATATAGGGTTTGAAAATATGAAAGGAAATGTCAACAAGCTGGACCAGGTAAGAGTCATTTACTTTTGTGGTGGATATAGAACTGTCCCTCCTGTGACAATTCGCAATCCTATGGAAAATTGAGTGTTGAGATCTCTTGTTTTTAACCACTTAATTCTGGACCTTTGAAACCAATAAATTTCGTCTTTTTTGAGAGTGGAGAGGTATTTTGCCTTCAGTTGATTCCCAGAGTCAAATTCCACTACTGTTAGGGGTCTAGACTCGTCAGCTCGATCAATGGCTTGGATAGATTCAAGGGGTGAGGCCTTTATTTGGCCATAGTTCCAAGGCTGCGATTTCCTCCAAATCTTCAAAGCAACTTTCAGTTTTTGGATTTTAGACTGGAGACAAAAGCCAGCCCTGCTCGAAACCTCACTGGAGAAAGAATTCCACCAGGCCGAAACGAGTGTAAGGAGAGATTTATCTTCAAGCCAAGATAGTTCAAACCGAAAGGGTTTTGGGCCGGTACTAAGGGCTTGGGCATCAAGAAGGATGGGGCAATGGTCAGAGGTGACTTTAGGCAAGGCCATAGCATGGGATCCCGAAAAAGTTTCCTCCCAATCCGCCAACCTTGAAGAGGTATATCAAGAAGGTCATGCTGAGAGATGAAATCCGAGAAATCCATCATTCCTTGTGTAATGGAGGGATTGGAGTTTCTCTCAAAGGACCATCTGGTGATGTTAAAATCACCACCTAAACACCAAATTGGATGAGGCAGAGAAGCAACCAAGGCTAATTCAAACCAAAAATGAGGACGAAGCGCGGCTGAGCAGGGGCCGTAGCCCGCAGAAATTTTCCAGAGATGATCGTCAGAAAAGCGAGACAAGAGAAGGGAAACAAAGAAGTCCCCTACATAGGACGAAATGAGGGAATGTTCCAGGGGGTTCCAGATTACCCAGATCCCTCCTGACGCACCCAACGCAGGTAGTGCTACCCATTGACAGGGTCTCCTACCCCAAACCTGACGAATGATAGAAAGGGAAGGCTCAGGAAGTTTAGTTTCTGATAAGGCTAGGATAGTCGAGAGGTATCTTAGGGTTAAGTCTTTGACTGCGGTCCTCTTTGCCAAAATAAATGAATGTGATAGCATTGGAATTAGCTTATACATTTAAAAACCAAGACATGGATCAATTGAATAAGCATATTATCCTCACATGGAAAGAAAAGTGTAAGAATAAAGAGAAACATATACTTCATCAGACATGTCCAGCCCAATTGTCAGGAAATGATGTTTAGACAAAAAAATAGGAACCTAAAAAACGTGAATGATGCAACACTATTTTGTAAGGAAACTGTAGGCATATTGGGGGATTAGCATTGGTGGTTAGATAGCAACCAAATTTCAATAAATCTGAATAATTTGAATAAGTTTATTATTTGCTTCAAATTTGAATAACTTTTTTGTATGGAATTTGGGAATTGGTTTTGGGAAAGTGCTTAATGTATAAATGTGAGCATGAATAATGAAAAAGTGTCGAGTCTTTGCCCCTAAACTGTCCATGCAACACAAGGAGGCAGATCCCCTTCAAAGAGGATCAAACCAGCATCGCAATTTTCTATCTTTCTGATTGCAGCTTACAATCTTTTCTAGCAAGATCATTACATTTGGTACTAGAGCATTTAGCCTAGTATGCCCAAAGCTGTTAGAAGGCTCTAAACGTGCAAAGGATGGAAGAAACAATAGAAAAGCTCAAAGGAGACGTGCAACAACATTTGGGACTGCTATGCAAGATATGCGAGATTCTCGCTCCTATGAGTCTTCAATACGAGCAAGAGCAAGCGGGATGGGAGGACAAGGCCAGACACATCCTATGGAGGGATGTTTTGCACTAAAGAGGATGGAACCCCGACACAAGCTCAGTACACACGTTTAGCTTTCCCCAAGTTTAGTGGTAATGATCTAACAGAGTGGATCTCTCGTGTCTAGCAATTCTTCAAATTTCAGAGCACAAAAGAGGAGCAAAAGGTGCTCCTTGCATCTTTCCACTTGGAAGGAGACACAGTGTAGTGATTCCGTGGTATGCGAAAGACGCATGTGACACAGACATGGGCAGATCTTGTTAAAGCACTATGTGCTCATTTCTGACTGATGAAATATAAAAATTTTGATGCAACCCTCTTTAAATTATGGTAGTCAAGAACTGTTTAAGAATATCAAACCATTTTTTAACAGCTAACAAATCGGGTGGATGAGTGGATGGAAAAGGCTTTGATTTGGTGCTATATTGGAGGCCTAAATGAAGAAATTCGGAACAAGGTCCAAATGTTCCAGGTGACAACCTTGACGACCATGATGGCCCTTGTACATATTCAAGAAAAAAACCATATCGCCTTAGATTCATAGGAGAAAACCAATTTAACTGGCAGGAGACTTCCGTACCCTTACCGACAGCTGAACCGCTCCGATTAAGAAACTAACCTGGCTGAGATTAAGAAGCACAAAAATAAGGGCCTTTGCTATAATTGTGACAAAGTTCATGCTGGGCCAGCCCCAACAGTTGTTGATGACAGATGGTAATGCCGAATACGGTGATGCTGAATGGAAGGCAAATGATCAAGCACGGTAATGAGTGAGCGCTTCCCAAATTTCCAACTTTGAGGACAAGGTTGATTTGAAGGAGGGTGGACTCTTAGGAAACTATACGTATAATTGGGGGATTAGCATGGTTAGTTAGATAGTCACCTAATTTGCATATATTTGAATAGTTTATATGAGATTTGGGAGTTGGTCAATTTGGGATAGTTTCTTAATATGAACCAGTTTGTTATTTATTTGAAATTTGAAGAGTTATTTGTACAGGATTTGGGAATTGGTTTTGTGGAAGTGCTTAATATATAAACCTGAGCTTGTGTAATGAAAGAGCATTAAGTCCCCCTACTCCTCTCCCCTTACAACCCCACAAAAAAAAGTTCCCCCTTCCCCCCACAACCCCACGAAAAGAAAAAAAAAGGAAAAAGTGTAACACAAGAAGGAAGATATCCCTCAAAGAGGATCATACAATTGCACTTTTCTATCCTTCTGCATGCAGGTTATGATCTATTCTAGCAATATCATAACATATTTCCAGATAGAAAAATGAAAATTCTAATTTGAGAAGCCAATGGGATTCTATATTGTTATTCAGCATTAGAATCAATGAACATTGTGTCAATAAGCAAGTGAATTTCGAATATGCAGTTAAGGAACGCCATTATTGAAATCAATAAAACAGTATTATGATATGAAGAAACGATGATGAACATGTATCCCCAAATCCCCTACCTGAGAGAGTCATATAGAGTGAGAGAGGAACATCAGGAGAAATGGTCATACAAAACTTGTAACCAAAATTCGAGACTGGTGGGAGATATTTCGACATGCAATGACTAATATCAGGAGAGAGAGAGTTTTTTTTTTAGAAAGGTTGACTTAATATTAGTACTAGAAAAAGTACAAATTTCCTTATCAGGACAGAGAGTTCCGCATGCAATTGAGAAAGACACAGAGAGAAAGATAGAGAATTTTCACGCACAATTGAGGAAGACGAATCACCAGAAGGAGAAAACAAACATCAATTAAAAGCACGAGAGAAGCAATGATTACCAGGGTTATCGCTCTCTGATTCAAGGCAGATACGGCAACAAGCGGCAGAGGAAACCTCCACATCGTCATCCTTTACCTCACTGGAACAACTTGTAGCCTGAGGAGGAGAAAGAAGAGGTGCTGAATCATCAACACTACTTCCGCTCTCTCTACAACCCTCCTCCATCTGAACCTCTCCAACTTTCATCATCACCACCACAACATTCACTGCAAAGAGAATTCCTTCTTATTCTTTTCCTTCTTCGTCACGAACCAGTCGATGAATCAATCCCCAACTTTCAAAACCCTAAAAATGCGAACGATCAAATAAAGACTGGAATTCAATGATTGAAAAGCAAAGGGCATATGACAATTCCTATAGAGAAGAGAAGAAGCCGCTAGGATACAAAAATATTAAAGAATAAAGAGGAAAGTTGGTGACCTCCAAAAGGAAAAATTGAGAGAATTTGCAAAAATAGAATTAAATTGACCTTTATTTCATATGCTCAGAGTGGAGTCGTAAGGAATATACGAGGAAACCGCAAAGAAAGTCAAGGCAAAAGTGCCTAATTTAAGTAAGGGAAAAGGCAAAAATTTAAGTAAGGGAAAAGTTTATGTAGAGCCGAACCTCTAAACAATCAAATTTGAGCCTACCTCAAAATTTTTATTAGAACTGGTCGTTTTGATGTCTAAATATGTTCAAATTGATCATCAAAATGCATGGACATGAGAAAAAAATAGATTGTAAATGTATGGACATGAGAAAAAAAATAGATTGTAAGTTTTGAAAGTAGTGTATTTTGTAGCACATTTTTTTACCACGAATTTTCAAGATTTTCAAGTTTTCATAGATACGTTGATCTACACAATTTTTGAAGCTTTAAACTTTATAAATAAATATAAAAATATATTTTAAGGTTATTCCAAAGATTTCCAATATTGAAACTACATTTTTTTATACTATTTGAAAGTAGACTCTAATTTGATTGTTTAGAGCCTAGGCTTTATACAAACCGCACCCATTTAATAATGGGTTTGTCTAGAGTTAACAACCCCTCAAAATAGGAAAGTTAAAGTTAGGAGGGGTTGTGATGGGTATATGTATCAAAACAATCATTACTTTTTATTTAAAAAATTATTTTAATAGGTAACTTAACCATTAAACAAGAGTAAATTTGAAATTTTTACACAAGTACAATAGCATTTTGGAAGTTAGTGTCCCAAAATTTTATTTGTAGAATGTCATTGTCTTTTAGTAAAAATTTCAACTTTATATTTTATGGAGAGAGCAAAAGTACCTATTGTCTTGTAGTAATATTTACAAAATTACCATTACTTAATGATGAAGATATCACAAAAAACTAACTTTTAAAAAAAAAAAAATAGACCATAAAATTAATAAATCTACCTTTCACAATTCTCTCTATCTTTAACTTTTGTAATTTGAAAAGTTGTGAAGTTTAGATTACCCCTTTAATAATTGGAGGGCATTGCAAAGAGCAGCTTGTTTAATTAGTAGAGAGGGGCTTCACTTTCAATTGAAACCTGTAATGATTAAGCTATGTGATTGGCCGAATAGTGATTAGGCCATAGATATGGCCCAAGGTCAAGCGAGGGCTAGGGCCGACCCAGGTTAGCTCGGCCCTTTTTGTTTTTGGGAAATTGTTTTATGCAGGCTAGACAACATTTCGACATATGCGGTTCAGAAAGTGTAAAGCATCCATCTTTAAGATGGATGCAAGTAGCTGTTCCATCTAAAAACAATGGAAACTAATGGTCCAAATGTTTTCTTACTAGAATTATTATTTTTAGTTTTTAAAATTTATTTATTTTTTCATATTTATGATCTCCATGTTAGAGATTGCATGTCTTTAAAAATTAAGTCTTAAAATCCATCTCAAAAATAGATTTGTTAAGAGGCCCGCATTCCTGCATATGCAGGCTTGGCCGTATAGAAACCAGATCCTTTTTTTTTTTTCTTACTTTTATATTTTATTTCTTGGTTTGTGTTTTGCCTATCCATAGCATGGTCAGGGCCTCTTTGGTCCCGTTTGTTGTGGGCTCAGATTGGCACTCTTGGGATTAGGGCAAGGTGGAGCCAAGGCTGCTCCAGCCCCCAACCAACCCATTTTCAGCCCTAATAATGAAGCGAACAACATCCTTTATGAAACAATCATTTTAAAATTTTCTAGTGAAAAACATAGTCATTAGTCAAAGAGAGGGCGAAATCATCATTTCGTACAAGCCTATAAAAGAGCAATAACGATAAATAACACTCATTCAGGCTTACCAGCCCAAAACAAGCATATCCAAATATGGAAAAAAGAAAAATGAGGCCTAAGTTCTTATCATACAATTGGACTTCATTAGCCACTTGGCTTGTGTTGCCTTTGCTTGTGCCAAAAGACATAAATATCTCTGCTTATTCCATTTTAAGAACCCTGAAAAATAGATTTCAACATGAAAACTATCATTTAGCTGAAGACACTAACCAATTACCAAAATTTCCATAAGCTAAACAAAAGGCAATATCATATTTTGAAATAAGATTCTGAGAGGTATTTGAGCAAAACAAAACTTATGAAATAAGTGTTATAATGTTAAAGTGGATGATATAATGTTAAACTCATGGAGGAAAAAGGGTTGAAGGAAAAGTTTGAAGAATATACGGACAAATCCAAGACTCTGCCCCCAACCACCACTAATGCAAATAAGCTTGTTCTCTATGTCCTCTACAAGCAAGCCATTGTTGGCCCCTGTTAAAAGCTCTATTGTTATTCTACTTTTATTACATGTGCATTTTCATTAGATTGATAAGTAATATCTCATTGTCTCTTAGTAGTTAATGTTGGAATTATACCCTTTCTAGACCTTAAATCCCTTCGTTCTCAATGACTCTATACTTAAGTGAGAGTATAAGAGCGACATGACTCTAGGATCTTGGTGTACTGGGACCAAGAGTCATGGAACCCTGATTCAGTTATAAGAGGTTTTAGCATATGGAAGGCACTGAAAGGTTTGAGGATTATCTCTTAGTTAAGGTCGGTTAATATGATATGTACCTCATGACCATGTGATAGGACATGACAATATGATATCCGTATGAACTTGATGATTATAAGTCTTACACAAGAAGGTTGGGTCAATAGAGGGCATCAGCCTAAATCCCTGACTCTAAGTACCTTCTTGTGGCATATGCATATAACACTCGTATTTTGTGGGAAGCATGCTCTTCTAGGGATCTGCTGGATAGAGCTATGCAAATGTACCAAGAGAGAAACCCTTGCATCTGGATCTTGTGTGCATGTCCTCTAGGGGGTACATATGAAATCCACGTAACATTGAAATTCAGAGTCACTCATTGACTTGACTTTGATATGACTAATATCTTGAACCCCTGATTAAATATTGTGGGTCATGAGTATGTTAGATCATTGTTGAGAAGATGACTCTGAGTTCAAGGGCTAGCCAAGTTGAGTGCTCTATTTTATAATTAAGCTCCGAGGATCCTAATTTCACTTGTAATTATTTTTATTATTGTCTAAATAATTTATTTTGATGAAAAATCATTAAAATGATTTTTTATGATTCATGAGAATTTTTTTTTAGTTTTTCTGACTCAAGAAAATCCCATTTCGAATTTATTTGAACAAAATGACACTTGAGGAAAAACCCCAAGACCCACACTGGGTACCCAAATGGCCAATGGGTGTCCACGTGTTGTGGGCCCATGCACCCCCATGTGGTGATGATGTGGGGGTGACGTCAATCCCCATGAGGGACTTCCTTATCTTTTTAATTATAGTATATTTTGATCCATTTTCCCTTGTATTTCATTTTATCATTAAATGAGATTATTTTGGTAAATTGATTTTCGACACATGTTGAATGCCTTAAGCAAGTGGGTTAGTGAACATGTATCGGATGTTCTAGAAGGGGTATAGGATCCTAACAAAAGGATTTTTAGTCATTGTGCACTTAACCACTTACCTTATGTGGCATGATCTTATTGAGGTCACATGCCTTAGTGATTTGGTGGGATTTTTAGAATATTCTTTTGGCTAGAATTTTGGCCAAATGACTATTACAGGGTTGCCCTTGATCATGGTTTGAATCTTTATTTATTAAAAAACAAGGGCATTTTATAACAATTTAAATTGGAGGGAATTAAAGGGAGGGGGATAATACTGTTAAATCCATACCACACATCAAGATGGCTGATGGTCGATTGTAGGCTAGGATCAATCCTTTCTTTGCAGAGTTTGGTTGAAAACATAGAAGACCATGATTCATCATCTAGAAGCATCTCCTATCATGTGACTTAAAGTGCTTATATATCCAATTTCAAGTCTTTGTCACTCACTAGTTTCTCAAGAAAGTCCTCCAAAAGTGGAACGCCCCACCTTGTTTCTCTCTCTAAAAAACTCATCTTCAACCTTGGAATATGAGCAGTCCATTGAAAGGTGAAATTGAACTCCATTAACGGTGATGGAAAGAGTAAGAAATCTTCATATCCATTCTTATGCTTCAGTTATCTTATGTGTTTCTTCATTTCCAGCAGCTTTTCATGATGATCTCTGATCGTTCTTTTGTTCATTAATCTCCCATTTGCTTATTAGATCAACTATGCTCATTTGTGTTCAATCCATGAGTAAATTGAGATAGTATCCATTAGATTTAATCATCAATTTCTTGAAGTTCTTTTGTTGTATTTTCTGAGTTCTTTTCAATTCAAATCAGTGAGCTAAGTTGTCTTGTTATACTAGAAAAGATTGATTTCATATGGAGAGGTTATGCCGATTTTTCTATACAGGCTATGAGAGATAACTATATTCGGTTTTGCAATTTTAGCATTGAGATCGGTCCCACGATTTTCCCTCTTTGAGTGAACTGAATTTTTATGAGAATACCTTCCGTACTTCATGAATACTTGTCTAGATGCTTGGCTTCCCTTTGATAAATGATGAATTGGCACCGATTTTGAGACTAGTCATCGCATGTCTCCTATTGGCACATAGTTGAGTCTAAAGGCAGTAATCAGGACAAAAGAGAGCTTCATATGGTTTTCTATTGCTATGTTGCACATTACACTTGAGCAATCACATATTCATGTATTTGTAGTCTTGATTTGATGTATATTAATGATTCAATTGATGTATAATTTGGCATTGTGAAGTTGTATGCTGCTGAAGTTTCAAGAGTGGATTGTATATGTCTAGTCTTGTGTTCTATCGTCAAGGATAGAGTTGTTAATGTGTAAGGGGCCCAAGTAGTGTTGTATCCTCTATTCATGAGTGTAGTTTGAAGCCTTTGTATCCATGGTACAGTAGCTACCTTGTTAGATTTTCATTTCCAAGTGTTGTAATTCAAGGGAGCTGTTGATATTTTAACTAGTTGTGTAACAATCCTAAACTTTACAAAAAAAAAAAAAAAG